CATCTGGTATGCTCTTAGGAGGTGGCGACTGGTCTCCCGGCGGATCGTCCTCTTGCCGACGATGGCTTGTTCGTCGATCAATCGGAGATGATTTACTCGATGGATTCGCGATCCTTTTATCGCGAATCGTTCAGCAATTTTAGTAGCAATGCTCCGCGAATCGCGTTGACGAGATTTTCGCCGATGATCCAGCGATTCTCGTTGCTTAATCCTTCACCGGCGATCTGCAAGAAAGTCGCGATAATCAGATAAAAATATATGAATTTTGACTCTGGAAGGATTCGAACCCGCGCCGGTCACCCCGCCTCTTCTGAGGAAGGTGTGGGTTTAGTCCCACATCGGTTGTACGCCGAGTTTTCGGGCGAATATATAGTAATGTTAGCTTTGTGAGCAAAGTCCCTTCTCTCGTGTGTACGACCACTCCTTGCCCCACAGCCGGCTGGCCACCGGTGACGTGGAAGGGGAGTGGCAAACGCGTCGGTCCCTTCTCTCGTGTGTACGACCGCCTGTCGGTCCCCAAGCCAAGCCGCTCGAGCCCTTGCTCGCGGCTTACTCCCCGACTATGCTTCCGACCCGCTTGCGGGCACGGCTGGCCGGCGGGTCCCCCCATTTTTGTAATATTTTTATTTCTATTTCTTGTTCTTCATTTATCTCAAAAGTAAGACTGTAAAAATCGTATAAAATCACATAATTACCCAAAAATTCACGTTAATCAATTGAAAACCAAAAATCATTCTTTAACACAAATATAAGTCTATTTATCATGAGTTAAGGCTAAAACTATATTATTTACTAATTATTAACTCATGATAATGAAGACTTATCACACCCCCCAACTTAAATCATTGCTAGTCCCTTAGCAATGGAATTACGAAAATAAAATTTTACAACTCTGAAACATCATATTTCAATACAGAAAAAAATATAATTAGAAATGATGCACCGTTAAACACTTTGGATTCTTATATCAAGTATTTAAGAATGATGTCAAGCACTTAAATGTTTAAACACTCTTTGGAATAACAATCTAGACTTCACTTCTTCTATTCACATCTTTATCACTTCTTCACTCATAAATGTATTTACAAGATGTTCCAATTATCAATACTCATCCAAGAATAATATTGATCTTACATTTCCCTTTTTCTATGACTTGATTTTTGAAGTTTGCATTATATTTCTTCCTTTTTTTTTTTATATAAATAGTGGATAAGTAGCTTTTCCTGTAGACAAATTTCGACAATAAGAATGATGTCTCACACCCTCCATGTGTACTCTTCATTTTCAGGGCTTTCACTTTATCCACTTATTTTTTAGCAAGTGTTTTTCTATGCACGATTTTCGACAATGAGAATGATGTCTCACACCCTCCATGTGTACTCTTCGTTTCTAGATTTTTCACATTGCTCTCTCTTCTTTTTTTTTTTTTCGAAATAAGTGATTTCTCTTCACAAGTCCTATAGATCAGGGTGCAAAAATCTCCATTAAACTCAAATGATCAATCAAATTTTTACATCAAGTAAATACTATCCATCAAGATCATGAAGTGAAAATCTATAAAATCAAATCTATGTTATCTATCATGTATCCAAGGAGTATTCCAACATTTTATGCTACTAGATCATTCTTTTAACTCAATAATAATCTTCCTAGTATCTTTTGGTATCAATCAATCTAATTGATTTAATTTTTCATGCATGTAATATGATGTAAGGAATTTGTAAATTAGATAGTTCTGACAATTCCGTTTTCTGTTTTCAGTTCTATTTTTAGCAGCAATAAATTTGTCAAAAATAAATCAAAACTATCTTCTTTAAAGCTGTAATTTTGAATTTCAGTAATATATATCTAGGGGATTGAAATGTGAGAAAAGGGTCTTCTAGAATTTCAAATTTCAGGCTGTTTTTTGTCTGCTATTTTTGACAGTCTGTTGTTTGTGACAGAAAACCAGAAAATAGATGTTGCAATTTTTCCGAATTTTATTTTATTTTTATTTTTTTAGTTGCTGTTCTAAGTTGAATAAAATGCAAACACATGTTCTTAATCGTCCTACAGCATAAATTAATAATGAATACTTCACCCCCCAACTTAAAAATGACATTGTCCTCAATGACACAGAAAACTCGAAACAAAATATGCAGAAAATATAATTTTCAAGTGAAGCATGCATATCTGCAAAGTTAAGCATTAAAAATATTTTCATAAATGATGAAGCTCTGAAAGACATCATCTCAACCTCGTTTTTACTTTTCCACTTCATCTTACACTCCTCCTGCACTTTTTCGAAAGAAAAACAAACACAGAAACAAGTACTGCGAAATTCTAAGAAAAATAGAGCTTAAAAGAAATCAAACAAAATGAAATAAAAACCATGGGTTGCCTCCCATGCAGCGCTGAATTTAATGTCTCCAGCTGGACAGCTCTTATATCATATAAGCTGATCTATGGCCATCAAAATATATTTGTATCCCAAGGTAAGTTTTATGATATTCTTTTTCAGATTTAGCATAAATTCATATACTTCATATATATACCTTGACATACTTTCAGCCAAAAAAAAATGGAAATTAACAAAATTTTCCCAAAAATAATATTTCCATTTTGAAAAGAATCTTTCCTTATTTCTATCTTGTTTTGTTAGGCTCTCATTCATTAATAAATACTTTCTATTAATAAACCATAAAATGTGATCAGGCCGTATAAATTTCAGATTAGCTCTTGCCCAATCTAAAATTTTTTCATCTAAATTGGTATCTCTAATTCTTCCACTCACCCATTTCTTAATGTCTTCTTTTATCTGCATAATCTTCCCCTGCTCCATTTTATCTTCCATACATATTTGTTCAATTTGTGAGGAGTGAAATATTTCAAGCTTAGAAATAATTCTAATGGGCTGTGGGTTTTGAAGAATGGAAGGATTGTCTTCTTTAATCTCAGATCTAATGAATTCAGTAAAATTCAAATTTTCTCCTCCAAAATTATCTCTATATTCACATCTATTATTTTCGCTTGTTCCCATTAGTTGAATCAATTCTTTTTCTAGCTTTTCGTTTCTCAACTCATCAAATTCTTCATCTTCCCAAGAGCTATCTTTTAATATTGGTATATGATATACATCATCATCCTCACAATCAACATCCATGGCTGCAAAATATTGATTAGATTCATTAATTTCGTCTCCTACATCTCCCAAATCAATTGATTTTTCCTCACCTGAAATATATTTTTCTTCATTTCTGTCCTTACTCCCTTCTACTAAAATTTAGACGATTTTTCTATCATCAATTGCTGTTTCTTCATCTAAGGGTTCTTTCTCCTCATCATCCTCACTATATTCATTCATCAATTGTGAGCGATAAATGATTTTATTCAAATTTTCTGCTACTATATTTTTACCCTTAATATTCTCATTTACTTCTAATGGATCATCAATTTCTTCTAATAATTGGAAATAAGGATCAGGTAAAATATTCTCACTCAATGTATTCACTGTCCTAATATTTTCATTTCGTGGGTTTTTTTCTAAATTTATCCAGCTAGACTCTTCTTGCTGAAATCTTACTGTTGGACAGTTTTCTGAATTTTCTATGGGCTGACTAGGTAGCTGTCCCTCTTCTCTCTTATTCTCAAGAGCTTCTATAATTTGTTTCTGGTGCTGCATCATTTGATTCATAGTTTGTTGCATCATTTGATTCATAGTTTGTTGCATCATTTGGCTCATTTGCTGCATCATTTCTATAGCATCAGGTTAGGTTTGAGAGGGCTGATTTTTCTGAAATCTATTTTCTTGTTTTGGACAAAATTCAGAGTTTGAATTGGGTCTAAGTGCTTCTGGATTTTGAATATTATTTGGGTCTCTCCATGAAAAGTTATTCCTCCAATTAGGATTATAAGAATTTGAAAAATTTTCCCTATTTCTATTAAAACCGTGAGCTACTTGCACTTGTTCTTGCATAGGGTGAAATGATTGATCTAAATTATAACATTGAAGTTCAGAATAATCATTTTCACCATACATAGGACATGTACTATTCGAATTAAGTTGAGGGTTAAAAGGCTTTCTAATATTATCAATAAGTAAATCAATTTTTTCTAATCTTTGATTAATCTGATTAACCTCATTTCTAAGTTTAGAATCATCATCATGATGCAATTCATAAATTCCTCTCTTCTTATCCCTGTCATATAATTCAAAAGAGGCTTGATCTCTAGAATTTTCACTTAAATTCTCATAAAGATTGTAAATCTCATCAGGAGTTTTCTCCATAAAAGCTCCTCCACATATAGAATCAACCATATTTCTATGTTGTTCTAATAATCCATCATAAAAAATTCTATTGAGCTGCCACTTGGGTATAGCATGATGAGGACACTTTCTAAGTAAATCTTTGAATTTTTCCCATGTCTCATGCAAAGTTTCTCCTGGTCTTTGAGAAAAACTCCATATATGTTTTCTCATATTTTGAGTTTTTCCTAAGGGATAAAATTTTCGAAGAAAGGCCTGTTCTATATCTTTCCAGCTAGTTAATTCTCTATCTAATGTGGATAGCCAATGACTAGCTTTGTCCCTAAGTGTATGAGGGAATAATTTCATCTTAATAATTTCCGGTGTAACTTGAGGGAGATTAACTAAATCACAAACCATATGAAATTTTTCTAAGTGCTGATGAGGTTCTTCTAAAGGCAATCCATGAAAATTAGGGAGCATTTGAAAAATTCCTGGATTTATTTCGAATTTAACAGTGGGTGCTAATGGGACTCTAATATTAGATGCTCTTTGAAATGAATCAGGGATATAATGATTTTTCATGGCCATAGGATTGTTCTCAGTTTGACCTGTACTTCCTTCAAGATCCATCAAAATTAATTTTTCTTTCGGATTTTTATTTTTGAATGAAATAATGAAAGGATTTTCTAGCCTTGGATGCAAGGATCTTCTACCATGCATAAAAATCAATAAATTCGAGGGAAAAAGTTAGTAACTGTTACCCTCCTTCAAGATGCTCCAGTCCTTGCCGTGCTTCTTTTCATTCCCTTTTTCTAATAAAAATTGGCAAAAAAAAAATAAAACAAGAGTAAAGTTTTTTTTTTTTTGTGTACTCTAAGAGAAAAATAGAAAAATACTAAATATTATGCAATACATCCCCGACAACGGCGCCAAAATTTTGACGTGACTCAGTCGTTGTATGTTAAATCACGCAAATATAAAATTTATAAAACTAGAAAATACGAATTTTCAGATATTTAGAAGTATTTCTAAATAAATATATCAATTATAATTCAATAAAAATTCCAAAAATAGCGGTAATTTTCCAGGTCGATCACAGGGATGTAATATAATATCTGGTAATTATTCAGAATTTTTCTCAATGAGTACGATTTTCTTACGAATTTTATACTAGGAAATAAAAAGGAAATATATTTAAAATTCACGAAAAAAAGGAAATAAGGGTGCGGACGTCAGAATGACGTCAGCGCCCGGCGAACGCGAATCAGGCGGAAATAGAGTTCCGCCCGGCGATTCTTACGTAGGCGATTACAGACGACTCAATTAATCAAATTAAGATCTGTAAAAACTGGAAGAATCATAATTGAACGAAGTATAGTTTGGTAAATTAAAATCAACAAAGTATCACTAAATGAAGCGTAAATTAAATTGAAAGTAGGAAAACAGAGTTCTGGCGTCGCGACGGCGATGCGTCGGCGATGCACCAAAACCCTGAGCGTTCGGGAGGATCGTCGTGCAGTGTCCACGGCCTCGAAGGCTCTCCTTGGACAAAGACGACGTGGGCAATCTCTAGATCTTCTCGCGAAGTCTAGAGATCAATGAAGTGGGTCGTCGAATCGTCTCCAGCGGCTGTCACCCGGCGAAGCAGAAAAACGGCGACTTTGCGGCTCTCCAGCGGCTGTCACCCGACGGAGAAGAGCTACATGGAGGTGGGGCGCGTGTTAGGGAGCTTCATCCTCAGGTCCGCGCAACAAGAGGAGGCTCTTCATCACATCTGGTACGCTCTCAAGAGGTGGCGACTGGTCTCCCGGCGGATCGTCCTCTTCCCGACGACAGCTTGTTCGTCGATCAATCGGAGATGATTTACTCGATGGATTCGCGATCCTTTTATCGTGAATCGTTCAGCAATTTTAGTAGCAATGCTCCGCGAATCGCGTTGACGAGATTTTCGCCGATGATCCAGCGATTCTCGTTGCTTAATCCTTCACCGGTGATCTGCAGGAAAGTCGCGATAATCAGATAAAAATATATGAATTTTGACTCTGGGAGGATTCAAACCCACGCCGATCGCCCCGCCTCTTCTGAGGAAGGTGTGGGTTTAGTCCCACATCGGTTGTACGCCGAGTTTTCGGGCGAATATATAGTAATGTTAGCTTTGTGAGCAAAGTCCCTTCTCTCGCATGTACGACCACTCCTTGCCCCACAGCCGGCTGGCCACCGGTGATATGGAAGGGGAGTGGCGAACGCGTGCCTGTCGGTCCCCAAGCCAAGCCGCTCGAGCCCCTGCTCGCGGCTTACTCCCTGACTGTGCTTCCGACTCGCTTGCGGGCACGGTTGGCCGGCGGGTCCCCCCATTTTGCAATATTTTTATTTTTATTTCTTGTTCTTCATTTATCTCAAAAGTAAGACTGTAAAAATCGTATAAAATCACATAATTACCCAAAAATTCACGTTAATCAATTGAAAACTAAAAATCATTCTTTAACACAAATATAAGTCTATTTATCATGAGTTAAGGCTAAAACTATATTATTTACTAATTATTAACTCATGATAATGAAGACTTATCACTCCACGTCCATACCTCACTTGATGTAGGTGGCTCAATAAGAGCTAATCGAAAAATATAGTCATTGAACATCTCCATGTTACGAGCCCTAAAGATCCGCCCACCTTGACATTCACTAGTATTACAAACACAGTTGAAGTCACCTGCTAGGTACCAAAGAGACTCAACTAGTGTAGGATAATCCTTCACGTACTGAACTAGATCCGCCCAAAGAGTTTTCCTTTCTTCGGATCTATGTGATGCATAAATGATTGAGAAGGTGAACTCTTAGGTGGGATCTCGAACCATCATAGTGATATGTTGGGATCCCTCGACTAGCAACTCCATAGAATATGTGAGGTCGGTGTAGGACGACGACTAGACATAATCTTTCCTACCTCAATAATAAAATCATCATGTGAGAGAAGTGGTAAGTGAAGAGAAGTAGACCCCGACAGTGATGAAGTATTTTTTTGTCAACATGTGTGAATAGTGTGTTCAAAAATCATGCAATGTGTGCAAAAATGAGGTAATCTCTCATATACAATATTTTGGTAGATTTTCTCATCCCCATTCTGCACAATAATCATGTGCTGAAGGGGGGCTAAGAGGTCTAACTCTGCACATATGCAGACATATCCTAGATGATTGAATATTTTAACACTTGGATCTAGGCGTATAAATGTTCTGACTGCATTGGCCAAAGACTCAAGTGCCTTGGGCGTGAATAGATGTACTGATAAGCTCAAAAAACCTATCCAAACTGGAGTAGAGTGAGGTTGTTTCCCTCGAGAGGTGCCGTCAAGATATGGGGTACATCTATGAGTGTACATAATTTAGTACTCGAGAGGTGCCGTTGATCTCAAGATCAACGGTCAGACGATGAAGAGTCGATTCCGAGGAAAAGCCGCCACCTGACGCCTTTTCTCCGGAAGCTGACGAGTCCGCGTCAGCCTCCGCTGGGGGGACGCCATGGGTACGAGGAACGGCATCAGTAGAATGCGGCGCCTTTATCTCGGCTCCCTATTGTCCGTTGATCGCAAGATTAACGGTTAGATCAAGGACCGAAGCTGACGAGTCCACGTCAACTGACACCGCCCCCACATCGCCGGCCTTTTCCTCTCGTCGATCCTCACCGTTAATCTCACGATCAACGGTGAGGTCAGGGGAGACGGCGCCACGTGCCTTTCCCGCAGAGCGAGGGAATGGCGCCAAGCACCATTCCCTCGTTTGCGGAAACCGAGGGGACTCGGCCAACGGCGAATCACTGCCTTTCTTAAGGCGGCCGTTCCGCCCTTTGACTGCCCCAATGTCCGGGCCATCAATAGGTTCCTCGGATGGCGTTTTATCACGGCGGACGAGTCGCCCCACGTGGCGGTTTCCTATTCGGTCGCATGCTTCCCTCATTTTTTTCATCCGGCGGACATGAGTCCGCCGATGAAATCTCTGATTTACTCATCAAGTAAGCATCAAATGAAGATGATGAAGAAGAGAAAAATATAGAGCACAGAAATACGATTCAAATGATTTAAAAATATTAAACTTGGTCCAAGTAACGAGAGAGATATTACCTTTAGAACGAAAAGTTCGGAAAAATACCTCTCAATGAAGAAATCCCGACAACAAAGGCTTCAATCCACTATTTTCGACGCTTAAAGCTTGAAGTTGATAGATTTTGGCCTTCCGAATCTAATGGAACTGATTTCAGCGCGATCGGAAGTCACACGAAAAAGATATCGCCATTTCAGATGGAGGTCAGTTGAAGGTGAAGAGAGAGAAGCTCCCGCGAGGAGAGAGAAAAAAGTTGAGCAAATGGTGCGGGGTAATTTTAACACTTAGTATGGGCTCATCTAGAAATTCTTCTAAAATAAGATTTTTATCTCCTTGGTGTAACCTAGATAGATGGTTAGCCACTACATTTTTAACCCCTAGCCTATCTCTAATTTCAATATCAAATTCTTGCAACAAAAGAATCCATCTAATTAGTCTAGATTTTGCTTTTTTTTTGCTTCAATAAAAACTTTAAAGTATAATGAGCAAAAAAAACTATAATCCTATTGCAAAGTAAATAAGACTTAAACTTATCTAAAGTAAAAACTATTACAAGTAATTCCTTTTCAGTGGTTGTATAATTCACTTGAGCCCCTCCTAAGGTTTTGCTTGCATACTAGATGACCATAGACTTCTTGTCAACCCTTTGTCCAAGTCCAACTCCCACAGCATAGTCAGATGCATCACACATCAACTCAAAGGGTGGATCCCACCTTGGTGCTTGAAGGATGGGTGCTTCTACCAAGGCTGACTTGATATATTCAAATGCTGCCTTTCTCACATCATTAATAATAAACCCCACATCCTTGGACAAAAGGTTAGTCAACAGTTTTGAAATTCATGCAAAAATTTTAATGAACCGTCTATAGAAGTCTGCATGGCTGAGAAACCCTCTAAGTTCCTTGAGGGTTACGGGTAGAGGTAGACCTTGGATTATCTCTATCTTGGTCTTGTCAACCTCTAGCCCAAGACTGCTCCCCATATGATAATATGCTCCACACAAATGAACATGATGATGAAGATGACCATATGTTCTTCTCTCTCTAACTCTTTTCGAGCTATTTTCATTACCCACTATTTCCTTGTTATTTTCCATGACTTGATCTTACTTGGGATGTTTCCATTGTCCAATCATCTCCTTCTCTATCTACCCCATGACTTCCTTCTCCATGGTTTATTTCTCTTTTAGTTAATCCCTTTCCTCAAAGTGTTAATTCTCCTTCCCCTCATTTCATTCATTTTCTTTCTTTTCTTGTTTAGTAAGTCACATCTTCTCTTCCTTTATACCAATAGGACCACATTTCATGCCTAAGTTTCTTACATATATACATATAGGGATCTATTCTTCATTACAATTCTCTACTTAATTATTGCTTGATTTTCATTCTTTGTTATTATATATTCTAGGATAAGCCTTGGATATATCTACCTCAATACAAGCTCTAGTATAACGAAAATGAGTGAATTGTATAACATCTTTATTGATACAAATAAAAGTCTCCAACATAGATACTATGGCTTTAAAGCTTGATGGGTTAAAGAAGTGGCTCTCATACTCGAGAAGCATATCCATCTTGGGTCAAAGGGAGAGTCCACCCTAAGGGAAGAGAAAGGGGACCACCAAAATAGATTCATTATCTCCCCTTTAATACTTCATAATAATTTACTCCACACAATTTGAAAGTTAGAACTCATTTCAAATCACATTATCACAAGCTTGAAGTTAATTCTTCCCCCATACACATTCCTTATTAACTTTCCTACTTTCTTATTTTCTTAATTTCACCCTTGATCTCAATGAGGTTCAACTTGTTCTTAGTGAATTTGCCTATGATTGCTTCACAAAAAGGGAATGTTAACTACTCTACTTCCTCATAAAATTCAATCGTTGGTGCTCCTTCTTACACATAATGGTTCTTTTATAAGATTATGTTGACATATTTAAGTATGAGATGCTCATTTCTAGTAATTGTAGCATATGTCAATTTAGGAGGTGGTCTTTTGAAGTTTATTGTTCTAACTATTGTTGTTTTATTTGTAGGTTGTGTTCCCTATCCCTTTGTCTAAGGGGGTTCACTCCTCTCTCTATGGCTTCCTTCTAACTCCTCTAATAAAGTATCTTCTTCATGTGTATTAAGTAAACTACTCCCACGATTAATAGTATCATTCAATAAAATTGAAGATAAGGCTTAGAACTGTGGAGGTAATTGAGTTTGATTGTATTTTCTCTTTAATCATCAAATTTTATCTCATTCTTTATTTTCCTTTATTGTTTTAATCATTGGTTCTTTATCTCATTCTTACTCTATTGATTTATCAATCAAAGTTAGGCTTTGAATTGGGGCCGATGTATCTTTCTCTTCACTTACCACCTTTGCTTATTCTTTGTTTGAATTATTCTTGTGTTGGGTTTCGACACTTGTTGGCATTACCTCGTTTGCCCTATATAAGAGATTAAATAATCATACCAATAAGGGTTCTTTCTCTATGACTCCTTGTCAACGAATTTTTTCCCATTTATCTTGGCTTTACCATATGTTTGTTCTTCCTCATTTTGTGCTTCATCTTCTAGTGTTCTTGTGTCCACTTGTCCATCCTCTATTTTCTCTATATTTATTGTCCTTTTTTTTTCTTACTCTTGTTCTTGCCTTTCTAACTCTTTATGTGTTTCACCAACTTCTTCAATTTTCAATTTCCCTCTACTTGCATTGTCATAGAAGTACTTATCCTCATCTACCTAGAAGGTGACTTCACCAACATCCTTATGTCTACCTCTGATGATTAGGTTATGACCTTCTCTTATGGTGGGTCTTTTGGCTTTTGTGATGTTAGATTTAATCACTCACACATCTTTGTTCCTTGACTAGCATTGATTGAGACTATTTCTTACCCATTTGGTTTTGTAATTTTTGGGACCACCTTTGCCCCCTATGTTCCTTTATCTTATTGGTAGCTATTCAACACAAACACAACTCTAAGTAGGTCACCTTCATTTGCACCAAGGGACCACTTTCCCTGATGCCCTAGTAGAGACCACCTCTTATTGTCTTTGATTTCCAAAGACTTTCTCACACTATTTTATTTTGGTAGTGCAATAGATAAGATAAAATATTAGCTCCATATCCTTAACCAATAATAGTCACAATACAATACCTTAGACATTTGCTCTTGATGTGATTTAGTCGTTGTATAGTAAATCACGCAAAGTTAAAATTTATAAAACTAGAAAATATGAATTTTTGGATATTTAAAAATATTTATAAACAAATATATTAATTATAATTCAATAAAACTTCCAAAAATAGCAGTAATTTTCTAAGTCGATCACAAGAATGTAATATAATATTTGGTAATTATTTAGAATTTTTTTCAAAGAATATTAGTTTTTATAAATTTTATACTAGGAAATAAAAAGAAAATATATTTAAAATTCACGAAAAAGGGAATTAAGGGTGTAGACATCAAGATGACATCAATGCTCGGCAAATGTGAATCAGATGAAAATAGAGTTTCATCTGGTGATTCTTATGTAAGTGATTGCAAATGATTTAATTGATCAAATTAAGATCTCTAAAAACCAAAAGAATCGTAATTGGATGAAGTATATGTTGGTAAATTTAAATCACATAAATTATCACTAAATGAAGTAGAAAGTAAGTTGAGAGTAAGAAAATAGAGTTCTGGCGTCACGGCGGTGATGCGTCAATGATGCACTAAAATCCTGAGCATTCAAGAGAATCATCGTGTAGTGTCTATAGCCTCGAAGGCTCTACTTGGACAAAGATGATGTTGGTAATCTCTAGATCTCCTTGAGATATCTACAAATCAATGAAATATTAAATTTGACGTGACTCAGTCATCGTATATTAAATCATGCAAATATAAAATTTATAAAACTAGAAAATACGAATTTTCAGATATTTAGAAGTATTTCTAAATAAATATATCAATTATAATTCAATAAAAATTCCAAAAATAGTGGTAATTTTCCAGGTCAATTTTAGGGATGTAATATAATATCTGGTAATTATTCAGAATTTTTCTCAATGAATACAATGTTCTATGAATTTTACACTAGGAAATAAAAAGAAAATATATTTAAAATTCACGAAAAAGGGAAATAAGGGCGCGAACATCAGGATGATGTCAGCACCCGGCGAGTGCGAATCGGGCAAAGACAGTTCTGCCTGGCGATTCTTACATAAGTGATTATAGACGATTTAATCGATCAAATTAAGATTTCTAAAAGCTAAAAGAATCGTAATAGAACAAAGTATATTTTGGTAAATGAAAAACACAAAAATTATCACTAAATAAAGTGTAAAGCAGGAAAATAGAGTCCTGGCGTCGCGACAGTGATGCGTCGGCGATGCATCGGAATCCTAAGCATTTGGGAGGATCGTTGTGTAGTGTCCATAGCCTTGAAGGCTCTCCTTCGACAAAGATGACATGGGCAATCTCTAGATCTTCTCACAAAGTCTAGAGATCAATGAAGTGGGTCGTCAAATCGTCTCTGGTGGCTGTCACCCAGAGGAGCAGAAAAATGGCAACTTTGTAGCTCTCCAACGACTGTCACCCGACGGAGAGGAGCTGGATGAAGGTGGTACGTGTGTCAGGGAGCTTCATCCACGGTCTGCGCAACAAGAGGAGTGATAAGTCTTCATTATCATGAGTTAATAATTAGTAAATAATATAGTTTTAGCCTTAACTCATGATAAATAGACTTATATTTGTGTTAAAAAATGATTTTTGGTTTTCAATTAATTAACGTGAATTTTTGGGTAATTATGTGATTTTATATGATTTTTACAGTCTTACTTTTGAGATAAATGAAAAACAAGAAATAAAAATAAAAATATTGCAAAAATGGGAGGACCCACCGGCCAGCCGTGCCCGCAAGCGGGTCGGAAGCACAGTCGGGGAGTAAGCTGCAAGCAAGGGATCGAGCAGCTTGGCTTGGGGACCGATAGGGCACGCATACGCCACCCCCCTTCCACATCACTGGTGGCCAGCTGGCTGTGGGGCAAGGAGTGGTCATACACGCAAGAGAAGGGACTTTGCTCAGAAAGCTAACATTACTATATATTCACCCGAAAAATCGACGTACAACCGATGTGGGACTAAACCTCCATCACACCTTCCTCAGAAGAGGCGGGCGACCGGTGCGAGTTTGAATCCTTCTAGAGTCAAAATTCATATATTTTTATTTGATTATCGCGACTTTCCTGCAGATCGCCGGTGAAGGATTAAGCAACGAGAATCACTGGATCATTGTCGAAAATCTCGTCAACACGATTCGCGGAGCATTACTACTAAAATTGCTGAACGATTCGCGATAAAAGGATCGCGAATCCATCGAGTAAATCATCTCCGATTGATTGATGAACAAGCCATCGTCTGGAAGAGGACGATCCACCGGGAGACCAGTCGCCACCTCCTGAGAGCGTACCAGATGCGATGAAGAGCCTCCTCTTGCTACGCGGACCTGAGGATGAAGCTCCCTGACACGCGCCCCACCTTCATCCAGCTCCTCTTCGTCGGGTGACAGCTGCCGGAGAGCCGCAAAGTCGCCGTTTTTCGCTCCGCCGGGTGACAGTCGCTGGAGACGATTCAACGACCCACTTCATTGATCTCTAGACTTTGCGAAAAGATCTAGAGATTGTCCACGTCGTCTTTGTCCAAGGAGAGCCTTCGAGGCCGTGGACACTGCATGACGATCCTCCTGAATGCTCAGGATTCCGGTACATCACCGACGCATCGCCGTCGCAACGTCGGAACTCTGTTTTCCTGCTTTCTATTTAATTTATGCTTCATTTAGTGATACTTTGTTGATTTTAATTTACCAAACTATACTTCGTTCAATTACGATTCTTCCGGCTTTTACAGATCTTAATTTGATTAATTGAGTCATTTGTAATCACCTACGTAAGAATTGCCGGGCGGAACTCTATTTCTGTCTGATTCGCATTCGCCTAGCGCTGACGTCATCTTGACGTCCGCACCCTTATTTCCTTTTTTTTGTGAATTTTAAATATATTTCCTTTTTATTTCCTAGTATAAAATTCATAAGAAAATCGTATTCATTGAAAAAAATTCTGAATAATTACCAGATATTATATTACATCCCTCTGATCGACTTGGAAAATTATCGCTATTTTTGGGATTTTTATTGAATTTTAATTGATATATTTATTTAGAAATACTTCTAAATATCTGAAAATTCGTATTTTCTAGTTTTATAAATTTTATATTTACATGATTTAATATACAACGACTGAGTCACGTCAAGGAGGCTCTTCATCGCATCTGGTACGCTCTTAGGAGGTGGTGACTCATCTCCTAGTGGATCGTCCTCTTCCCGACGATGGCTTATTCGTCGATCAATCGGAGATGATTTACTCGATGAATTCGTAATCCTTTTATCGCGAATCGTTCAGCAATTTTAGTAGCAATGCTCCGCGAATCACGTTGACAAGATTTTTGCCAATGATCTAGCGATTCTTGTTGCTTAATCCTTCACTAGTGATCTATAGAAAAGGCACGATAATTAGATAAAAATATATGAATTTTGACTCTTTGAGGATTCAAACCCGCGCCGGTCACTTGCCTGTGAGTAAAGTGTGACGCGGGTTTAGTCCCACATCGGTTGTGCGCCGATTTTTCGGGCAAATATATAGTAATGTTAGCTTTGTAAGCAAAGTTTCTTCTCTCGCGTGTACGACCACTCCTTGCCCCACAACAAGCTGGCCATTGGTGATGTGACAGGGGAGTGACATACACGTGCCCCTATCGAGTCCAATTTAAGCCACTCGAGCCCCTACTCGCGGCTACTCCCCAACTGTGCTTCCGACCTGCTTGCAGGCCTGGTTGGCCGGCGGATCCCCCATTTTGTAATATTTTTATTTTTATTTCTTGTTCTTCATTTATCTCAAAAGTGAGACTATAAAAATCGTATAAAATCACATAATTACCCAAAAATTCAAGTTAATCAACTGAAAACCACAAATCATTTTTTAACACAAATATAAGTCTATTTATCATGAGTTAAGACTAAAACTATATTATTTACTAATTATTAACTCATGATAATGAAGACTTATCACTCGACAAATGTGAATCGGATGAAAACAGAGTTTTGTCTAGTGATTCTTATGTAAGTGATTACACGCGATTTAATTGATCAAATTAAGATCTCTAAAAACCAAAAGAATTGTAATTGGATGAAGTATATGTTGGTAAATTTAAATCACAGAAATTATCACTAAATGAAGTAGAAAGTAAGTTGAGTAGGAAAACATAGTTCCGGCGTCACGATAGTGATGCGTCAATGATGCACTAAAATCCTAAGCATTTAGGAGAATCATCGTGTAGTGTCTACGGCCTCGAAGGCTCTACTTGAACAAAGATGATATGGGCAATCTCTAGATCTCCTTGTGATGTCTACAAATCAATGAAATGAGTTGTCGAATCATCTTTGACAACTGTCACCTAGTGGAGTAGAAAAATAACGATTTTTGTAGCTCTCTAGTGACTATCACCCAATGAAAAGAAGCTAGATGGAGGTGGGGCATGTGTCAAGGAGTTTCATCCTCAAGTCCATGCAATAAGAAGAGGCTCTTCATCACATCTAGTACGCTCTCAAGAGGTGGCGACTCGTCTCCTGGCAGATCATCTTCTTTCAGACGATGGCTTGTTCGTTGATCAATCGAAGATACTTTACTAATAGATTTGCAATCCTTTTATCACAAATCGTTTAGCAATTTTAGTAACAATATTCTACAAATCGCATTGACAAGATTTTCACCGATGATCTAGCACTCTAATTGCTTAATCTTTCACCGGCGATCTATAGGAAAGTCGTGATAATCAATTTAAAAAAATATGAATTTTGACTCTAGGAAGATTCAAACTTGCATTAGTTGCTTGCCTACATGAGAAAGATTGACATAAGTACTCTAATCCCCTTATAAAATGACATCATCATGGTATATCTCTATTATAAAAAAGGGGGTCTTTTAGGTATTAAAATCTTTGAACCCTTTCTAGGGAAGGTGTGACACGAGTTTAGTCTCACATTGTTTATGCACCAAAGTTTCAGATGAATATATAGTAATATTACATTTTAGAAGTAAGTCCCTTCTCTCATATGTATGACCACTCCTTACCCCATAGTCGACTAGCCACCGGTGATGTGGAAGGGGAGTGGCACACACGTGCCTCTATTGGTCCAAGCCACTCGAGCCCTTGCTCGTGGCTACTCCCCAACTATGCTTTCGACTCACTTACAGGCCCACCTAGCCGATAGGTCCCCCCATTTTGTAATATTTTTATTTTTATTTCTTTTTCTTCATTTATCTCTTAAGACTATAAAAATCATATAAATTCATATAAAATCACATAATTACAAAAAAATCATGTTAATCAATTGAAAATCACTTTTCACACTTTAACATAAATATAAATCTATTTATCACAAGTTAAAGCTAAAATATATTATTTACTAATTATTAACTCATGATAATGAAGACTTATCACAACCCCCAACTTAAATCATTGCTTGTCCCCTAATAATTGAATTACGAAAATAAAAATTTACAAATCTCAAACATCATATTTCAATATAGAAAAAAAATACAATTAGAAATGATGCACTTTTAGACACTTTAGATTCTTATATCAAGTATTTAAGAATAATTTTAAGCACTTAAATGTTTAAGCACTCCTTAGAATAACAATGTAGACTTCACTTCTTCTATTCACATCTTTATCACTTCTTCACTCATAGATATATTTACAAGATATTCCAATTATCAATACTTATCTAAGAATAATATTGATCCTACATTTTCCTTTTTCCAAGGCTTGATTTTTGAAGTTTGCACTATATTTCTTCCTTCTTTTTTGTATTTTTATATATAGTGGATAAGTAGCTTTTCCTGTAGATAAATTTTGATAATAAGAATGATGTCTCACACCCTCCATATGTACTCTTTATTTTCAGGGCTTTCACTTTATCCGCTTATTTTGCAGCAAGTGTTTTTTTATGTATGATTTTTGATAATGAGAATGATGTCTCACACCCTCCATGTGTACTCTTCATTTTTAGATTTTTTACATTGCTCTCCCTTTTTTTTTTCGAATAAGTGATTTCTCCTCACAAGTTCTATAGATTAGGGTGCAAAAATCTCCATTAAACTAAAATGATCAATCAAATTTCCACATCAAGTAAATACTATCTATCAAGATCATGAAGTGCAAAATCTATTAAATCAAATTCATGTTATATATCATGTACCCAAGAAGTATTCCAACATTTCATACTACTAGATAATTCTTTTGACTCAATAATAATCTTTTTAATATCTTTTGATATCAATCAATATAATTGATTTAATTTTTCGTGCATGTAATATGATGTAAGAAATTTGTAAATTAGATAGTTCTGATAGTTCTATTTTTTGTTTTCAGTTTTGTTTTTAGTAATAATAAATTTGTCAAAAAAAAATCAAAACTATCTTCTTTATAGTTGTAATTTCAAATTTTAGTAATATATGTCTA